GCTTCCTCTCATCCTTCAAAGTCCCAAAAATAAGACTAAAAATAAGAATAGAGAGAGAGGAAGGAGAATAAGAAAATAGTGCAGGAGGAGGAGGAGGAGGAGGAGGGGAGGAGGAGGAGGAGGAGGAGGGGAGGAGGAGGAGGAGGAGGAGGAGGAGAGGAGGAGGAGGAGGAGGGGAGGAGGAGGGGAGGAGGAGGAGGAGGGAGAGAGAGAGAGAAGGAGAGAGAGAAGAGAAGAAGGAGGGAAGGAATAAATGAGGGGAGGAGGAGAGGAGGGAAGAGGAGGGGAGGAGGGAAAGAGAAGAAGAAGGCAAAGGCAAATGGGGAGCAGAAGAGAAAAGGGGCAGAAAGAAGACTAAAAACGAAAATAATTAGAGTAAATTATAAACAACAAAGAGAAGACAGTACAATTTCGGAAGTAAAAATACGAAACTATTAAGTAACAGTAACAATAGGAAACTAAGAAACTGGGTCATTCAGAATACACATAAGAAAAATAATTGTTAAATATACATATATACCCAACCTAAAACCAATCATACTTACAAGCTTTTTCAATACTCTTTGAGATTTCTTTAAGCAAACAAGAAACACATAGTTGCATAGGGCATGGGGCTGGGATACAAACAAGAGCTACACGACGACAAAAGGTTAAGTTTTACAAGATGAAACCAGACTAACCTTGAAAGCTCTTTCCTATATCCATGGAGGATTAGATTATATTAATATGATTTTCTTAATTAATCAACTATATACCAAAGCAAATTTTTGAACATGCACAAGTATTACAACAGACAGACACACAGACACAATACACAAACAATTACAGACACACACACAACACACACACACACACACACACACACACACACACACACACACACCACCACACACACCCACACAAACACCACACACACCACACGCACACACACAGAGGAAAGAAGAGAAAAGCAACCTCTGGATTCCACACTTTCTGTATCATGCAACTGTATCCTTCTCCAATATATATTTTCATACATACTTTAATTATCTGTATGTTGCAACATGCAGTACAAATTCCCAAACAGGTTATATTTTTTCTTCTTTCCCCCAAAAAATTTAGTCCTATAAAAGTAAACAGAGTATTCCCTTAAACCTAAAACAGAAAATGTTTGTGAAACACCTTTTTTTGCTAGATCAAATTATAGAAGGATCATTTTCAACTTCAATCTAACCCCTTGAATTTAACCTCTGTCACTAAGCTGGATTTTTCTTTTGCGCAAATTTGTCAATACAAATAGAACAACGAAGGGAAGAACAAGAAAACACATGATTATACGAAATGTCTTCTCGCTACATTACTTATTCAGGGCATACAGGATAAGTGATATAGAGAGTATACCCTGAAGAAGCAATATAGAGAAAAGACTTTTGACATATCAATGTGTTTTCTTGTTCTCCCCTTACTGTCCTATTTGCAATCCATTCCACATGAATGCTACAAATTTGTCAGTGCACTCGACCAGGATGGACACGGGCAACATCCTGCAGTACCAGCTTAGTGCGGATTTTGGTCCAAGTAAATCATTAAAAATCCTTTCTGAATTCTGCTTTTTTATTCCTTTTTATGAACAAGACCTCTGGATTCTCCGCAAAGCCTAACATCCTTTTTGAGGATCTTACAGTCAAGGGGTTAAATGGAATTTTTTGTCTATGATATACCAATTCCAACACAAAACACCAGTTATCTATAAACTACTGAATTATAAAGCTAAGTTTACATACACAAATAATGTCTCTCCAGTCAAATAAAACTATTACAAAAAAACTAAAGTACTGCAGCTGTGCTAAAACAAATCATGGTGAGATGCATCCTTTTGGGTATTATCCTTAAAGTAATATAAGTATTTACTTAATACATATATAATTTGCCTCTCTAATCAGCTATACAAAAAAAAAAGAAAAAAAAAGAAAAACAAAAGGGGAGAAAAATAATAATATTGGTAATTTATTTGTTCATCTTATAAATTTGCGTATGATGCTAATGGAAAGCAGCTTTACGGTATTGCTTCATAATTTGTGGTGAATCAAAGGCAGGAATGTTTTTGAACTCTCAATAAAATTTGGATTTCTAGAAGAGGTAAAGATCACACACATAAACACAATCAGTTATATTCAAGAAGTTTCAAGAAATCAATCATAAAATTGTCTTAAGGAGACCATACCTTAAAATTTCTAAATTTCTTTTTTTTTAAATCAATTTGTGGGCTTTACCCTTTTATTCTTACTTGATGGGGAAGCTCCAGCTAAATTCTTTTGAAAAATAAGTCTTTTCTATTAGAAAAATCTTTCCCTTGCGTTTCCAAAACTGTGTTCATCTCAAAATGTCCTAACATTGCATTTTTGGCCATTTTCAAGGAAATGGTATCCTTAGCGAATAAACTTCATGAGTCATTTGCTAGTCTCTCAAGCTATCTAATTTATAAGAATAAAACAAAGTATTATAAAAATTTTATGAATACAAAATATAAACAAGAAAAAAAGGACCCGCTAAATATCTCACAATCTTTTTTCTTTCTTTTTTTTATCTCATAATGACTAATGTGGTTGTGTATCCTCTCCCTGCCTTATAACTGTTATTTCAAGGCATGAATGTGTTTGATTACACACATGTTAAATATATACAATGGCCTTTATCTTAAGGTATCATATCTGATGTAGTTATATCACTCACTCACTCTCTTTTACCACAATGACATTCCTCACACATATATCCACACACACTTTTACACAAATACAAACACGCATACACACAAGGGACTTTATACACACGAAGAGACTGACACATAAATATACACACAAACTCTTAAAATCACAACATATGCAGACTCATTCATTCACTCAATCACTCTTTTCTCTTTGCAATATTGAAATAAATCATTATTTGCCTTTGGAAAATTATATAGTCTAACAGGCATATATGATTTCATATTTATTTGATTGAAAAAGGGGCTACCATTCTTGATCTATTTCATTATAACTTTGATAAGTGAAAACATGATAAAAAGACAAAACCACAAAGACCTTCTTGTTTGTAATAAATGAAATAATAAATCTGGTGCAAGAAATTTCAAAGCATGATATTCAATCAAGCCAATTGTATTTAACTGCAGCTGTGAATATGGTGGGTGTGGGAAAGAAATGCAAGAAAGCTTACCTCGTACGCCAAGTTCTGCTGAATTCTTCTGCATGTTTTTATGGTCACCAACCACAATAGCTTTCCACAATCGACATAATGGCTGTCTCACGCTGGTTGGGAGGAACTGATACAGACCGTGATCAAGGATCACAATCTCGGCGTCACCACGCTTGCTTGGCCGAATTAGAACTGGAATATCAGCATTTGCATGAGGAAAGAGAGAAAAAATACAGACAGACACATTCAGTGTGCGCACATGTGCACACACACACACCAACACACACCAACACACACACACACACCACACACACACAACACAACAACCACACAACACACCACCACACACACACACCACACCACACCACACACACACCCACACACACACAACACACACACTCACACACCCACACACCGCACGTATATAATACTGGTCATGCCAATATATGTGTGTACAGGAAAAAATGGAACCAATCATAAGTGTCATTATATTAAGAACATGTACTAACAATATATATCAAATCATTCTAATGTACTGAATAGTCTGAAATGTCGGCAATTCTGATCCATTTTAGATTTGAATATTATTGTTAAAAAAGGTAAAAGTTTCAGGATCATATGGCCCAAAAAGATGTTCATCTTTATAAATTGAACTCTACAGTGATAATTATAAGACCACAAGGAGAGAAAGATATAGGTAAAAAAATTGCATATTTGTCCAAAAGGTTCGCATTTAGGTATCACTTTATAAGTACTGTTGCTATGATAGGCTGTATGGAATAGCATATCATATGATAATGGCACAAACTAATTCAAGAAAAAATAAATAGATAAAAATAAACAATACTTAAACAACTATATATTAAACAGATTTTTAAAAATTATTTAACTTGAACAAAAACATAATATCAAGCATGTAAATCCCTAATGAAAGTGAGGAACAATATTACATGATAATCTACAAATAACTTACCATTGCCAGGGTGTGGATCAGCATGGACAAAGCCAGTGTGGAATATCTGTTCGGCAAATGCATTTATGAGCTTCTTGTCAACGTCTTCGATATTTATTCCAGCCTTCTCCATACCTGATACATCACTAACCTTGAATCCATGTATGTATTCAGTTGTTAAAACTCTCTGTAAGCAGAGATCATTCACACATTATTCATATATCATTTGATGCATCTCTGATAATCAACTCAAAAGACTAAACTAGTATCTTTAACACTAGACTGGTAGCAATGCAGAGAAAAAGCTAGAGAGTTGCAGGAAATGTAAGAATGTAAAATGATGAATGAAAGTAAAACCAAAAAGCAAGAAGAGAAGAAAGGAAGAAGAAAGGAAGAGACGAATGAATTACCTTTATGCTCCTTTTTCCTACCTAGCTCGCACACTAAAAGATAAAATACACAGCACACAATACACAAAATACACAGGTTGTGGTGACTGAGTGACTTAAACATTGCATTACTAATTATAGCACATTTCTCTGAATGCATCATATTTGCAGTTACATCCAATAATAATAATAGAACTATTTCAACTAAAATCAATTCCATAGAGCCATTAGATTATTGGGTAACTTATTAAATGAGTCGACAGTTTCATTACTGTATCCCTTAGTCAAAGATTCTGAAACTGACCGACTAGGGAAAAACAGTGCATAACTGGCATTATACTTTAGTTATGAAAGAATTTACAGGAGGTATATATTGCTTGGTTAGGTTGGTAAACTTGCTCTTGATAAGTGCTTCTGTGATACAAATGTGTTAATGCTTTCATTTAATAACAGCATAAATCACATGGGCAACTTGCAGACACATCTTTTTAATATAAATCAATTTCCAGGCAACTTCTACACGGACATCAGAACAATTTATGTATAATATTTACTTCTTACAGAGATATCAGCCTGGAGTTGGATAATTATCATTCTAATTATATTTATTGAAAAATTAAAAGAACATTTTGCCAAAAAACAATGTGAACAGATATGAATTAATAAAAAAATTCAAGTAATGTATTGGAGGTTTACATTATGATGCTAAGTGGTGTCTGTAGCTTAATTTTACTCCTAAAGCTTTGCTACAACAAGTTCAACATGTACTGTTTTGAACAACTTTGATCTTCAAGGAGATGAGTATCTCTTTTTTATAACAAAGAAAAAAAATAATTTGGCCTTACAACATTCTTAGCTGAAATAAGCTTTGTGAAAGATTAAGGATATATTTTCTAAGAAATATCTATCAAGGTATATCATTGTTAACAACAGTATCTATAAACTGCAAAGTGACCACATATCTAATTGCATCTACCAGTTACATTGCAACCTTTGGAATGTTTCTGAGATCCAGGATTGCCAACTGAAATAATTACATTACTTAATCCTAATACACTAATCACATATCTTGCTTATTCTCAATGCAATTCCACTTCTGGTCAAAAATGAAGGCAAAATGGAAGGAGAGATGTCTTAAAGAATAACATAAATATCATAGAACATATTTCTTCTAATCAAATTTTCTTTTTTTTACTAAATTCATGATAACATAACTAAATTCTATTCTTTTGACATCCATTATCTAAATTAAAGACTAGTTGTGTTATTTATAAATCTAATGTAAACTGGATATATTGAAAAAAGCCTAAGTCTTTATCAGTCCTATTCTTGACAAATAAACAAAACAAAAGGGTGAGGAAAATATCTATTCTCAAGAATATGATACCATCAAAAAAAAATGTTCTTAAATGATGAAAACCAAAAAAAAGAAAACATTTCTATGCCTCAAAAACAACAGGAACTTACAATAATAAAATATCTAAAAAAAAAAAGACAAACATGAAAATGGAAACATACATCATCAGTAAAGAATACAAGAATGACAAGAACAAAGTTGTGCCTACCTTACTACAGCAATCCCAGTGGACTTTTGGAACATGAACATACTTGAATTTTGAAAGTTCTCTAGCACAGCGCTCCCCATTGTGTCCTTCGTTAATGAAGTCCAGCTCTTGCTCCAAGGTACCTTTTAGGTCCTGGTTTGAAAAAAATTAATAATTGCAAATTCTAAAATTACACAAGAATATTAAATCAATATGAAATAAGAAAGGGTAAAATGTTATCACAATGTTATCAGTGTATTATAATATTCATGAAAAAATGATTTTTAAAAATGAATAGTGGTCTTACATGTCATACATGAAAACATTTTTGTTTTATAAAAAGCTCGCCCAAATCAAGGAAAAACAAAAAATCCTTTACCTTGAGAACCCATTTCAAGGCAAACTTTGGATGCATTATTTGTATGATCTCCAGGAGCAGCTCAATGGTGGTGATGTCTCCCCAGAACCGATCCTGAAGGTCAATGTATTGCACTTTGACGGCGACTTCTTCGCCACTGTGTGTGTCTTAGCACGGAATACCTAGGAGAAAGGATCGTTTAGTTCTATAGTCTTGATATTGATATTGGTGTAGTCTTGATAGCAAAATGTAACAAACTTCTCTAATTATGAGATGAGTCCATTTCTTATTAGAAAATTAAAATTCAAGATTCCTGACACCAAACCTGCATAACATGTAAGATTTTGAGGTCATGTCATCTCTCTCACCTGGGCTAAACTGGCTGCTGCAATGGGCTCATCATCAACTCACTAATATTTCTTTATGTGAACATCCAAAGTCTTCTTGAAAGAGCGTGCCAATTTCATCCCATCTGCGGTTGAGACACCTATCTTGCAGAGCCTAAGGGATACAAATGACAAAGACTGATAAGAAATGTCTTCATTAAATCAAAATTCATTAGAAAATGTAAAGAGTATTCATGTTACACTTTTCAGTTGAAAATAATATATGCCATTAAAGATTCAATACCAATACTAGAAATCTAAAAATAAATCTAATACAAACTATCTGTAAAACCTTCATCATCTTATTGATTTATACTAATAAAGGATTCAGGTTAACTTGTAAAACATCCATTTTCTATTTAATGGAACAAAAACATTTGCTCATCAGACCTTTATAAATAACTGAATAAATTTTACACCTAAATCACTATGAAGTAATTCTCAAGTGCAGCAGATTACAAACTCACTTTTAATGTTTCCAGGTATTCTTTTGGCAGTATGTGATTCATGGAGACTAACCCCTGGCCCAGTTTTACATACAATCCACCATTCTGTAAAATATTTAAGTAATTAGTAATAATATTTGTTTTTCTAAACCTCCTTTAGTGCATCATATTCTATACAGAGTTGCATCATGAAAGAATCTACTCCTACCTTGAGACAGCCATCGAGAATTCGTTCCGCTGATCGCTGGTGGGCTGCCGATAATGCTGCAGAATAAAGATCACTGTCTTCATCCAGGCCATAAGTTGACCATTTGTAGTCCACGGAGATCATCAGACCAATTCTCAAACTCCTGTTGCATTAAAGTTCTAAAATTATCATAGTTCTTCATGAAGTACTTGTAAAATATTGTATAATAAATTACAGAAGGATCAAAATTCTATAATCAGATGGTAATATTGAAAAATTGAAGACTGATTGATATATAAAAAAAAAATCCATTCTGAAGGCTGTGCATGCTACAACTACTACAATTACAAAATTCACTATAATACAACAAATCAGTTACACAGACAAGAAAGATGTTAAATGCATATGTTAAAGGATATCACCAAATCACTACGATAATAATGATAATAATAAAAAGAAAACCAAACAGCTCTACCAACCTGAAGAATCTTCCTACTCCCTCAACTGTCACCCTCATCTGTCTCTTAGTCAAATCATCGGTGTATGCATAGTACACTCCTCCAGCTGCTGGCACCGCTACAACACCACACCACCAATAGCCTTCCCAATTGTAGCCAAAACTCTCCGCTTCTTCTTTACCACAACGGGGGCTTCTGTTGCACATCTTCTGATAGCATTCTGGCTCGTACACCAAAGGGGGCGTACAAAGTTGCAAGCTGCACGTCGATACATTGTGACTAACACTGTTGGATATAAGAATAAATAGTAATGCTGCACATCCAATACTGCATTTATGATGGTGTGGTATTTGAAAACACTGCCAAATCATACAATGGTGGTAGTTCTTAGCTGCATCAAGGATTTATATTCTTCTATTATTTGATCTTTCATCTTTCATTTTGTTAGTTTCTCAAATTCTTGTACTTCAAACATTACACTTTAGCTTATTAAGAAACATGAGTTCCTGTCACTAAAGTATATACTTATTATCTACAAAACCAAAATACTTTGTTAGACATCAAACATTTCTCTCTTTTAATTATAAAAAAAAAAAAAAATCATAAATCAAATTTCAAGATTACATACTATTTTCTATCCCATACAATAACATTTAGTGGGAAATTCATAAATCTTTAACCAAATCTTTGAGAATAGATTGAAAGCATCCTAATATCTTACATTATTACAGAAATTGCAATTCCATGTTGATATAATGTCAAAAAATATAACACAGAAAACATTACTTAGAATATAATTAACTTAATAATATAATCTTTAGATTCTGGCTGTGTAAGGTTTAGCTACAGTAAGGTCTGGTAGAGTAACTGTGAGGCATATTAAGATTCGTGTAAGTGAGTCTGATATCTTAAATCATCAGTATTTACAACACAACTCTTTCACTTTCAATTCATGACATTTGATCCAGATTTACTATGCAAACTTGAACCAGTTCTTTTCATCTGTGCAGAAAATAATTTTCAAAAGATATAATAACTCCCCTTTTCAATTTTAGCATTAATTAATATGCTTCTTCATGAATATGATATGAAAGAGTTGTAATTCAAATGGAAATTATGCTATATAACGACTGTAACAACTGTCTTGATGTCTCTCCCTAGCAACACATTCTTATAACCCTATCATGATGGGGACAAGAGTTTTCTGTGACGTAATAATTATGCAAAAGTTTTGCTTTTCTGGCTGGGCACGTGCTGTGTACAGCTAGCCCACCCGCTAACTGAATAAAGTGAGTTATGACGTCCTTTACTGTGGCTTTAGGTGTGCCCATCACTAAGGGATATAGCACTTGGTATGATTAACTACTGTATCTCTGAAATGTTGCATTACAATGTAGTAAGCCTTTAAAAGCTTTGTGAATAAAATGAATGATGAAAAGGAGCTGACACGTTATAAATCGTATACGTTCAGATTTATGAGCGAAAATGTCACACACAAACCCATGTGGCACTGAAACCATTGGGCACTAATTTGGTTTGATAGGATAAAAATTTCCAAAATTTCTGTTAACTTCAACAAACACATCAAAGTACATTTACCATATATCTATAGCAATCATTAATGTCATATCTACCATGCATGAAAATACTGACATGACAACTTATGTCACTGTATTCATATTATAATAACAGTATATCTAGATTTATGTCTGTATTTTGTCAATATTATATTCTTTTCTTCCTTGGCCTACCATTATACTCATATAATTCATAATTCCTATATAAAAAGCAAGTTAAATCAAATATACAATTACAAGGCACCATTCACCATCGTTATCTTGTATTAAAATTACAATTATTAAAACATGCCAAAGAAAATGGAAATTACATGAGTCTTCACCTCCCGGAAGTAAAGATGAGAATTCACGTAAATAACATTTTCTTCCACATATTATGTATAAAAACTATCTAATTCCTTTAAAAGAACACAAAACCGACTCACCTCAACCCGTATTTCGTCCAATAACAGCGCTATAGGCAATGACAAGTCGATTTTACAACCTTGAAAATGAACATTGTTTACATAAGTTGGTCTTCATGACGCAA